GAGAGTGCCCCGATGCTGGGAGAGCAAGACCTTCAAGGCCAGGAAATCAGGTATTAAGCCTGGTGCAGAAGTTGCCTTAGATGGTAATATAATTGTTTCCAGGTGCTATGTGGCTATATTCATAGCCGATCAGACAACGCACTGTACTTGGAGCTGCAGACATCATCAAACTCCAATGGAACTTCCACAAAACACACAGAATAAGTAGATGACTTACCCCTTTCCCATTTTTTTTAAAATAAATTTATTTATTTTTTTATTTTTATTTTTTTGGCTGCATTGGGTCTTTCTTGCTGTGCACAGGCTTTCTCTAGTTGCAGTGAGCGGGGGCTACTCTTCGTTGTGGTGCGCAGGCTTCTCATTGCGGTGGCTTCTCTTTGTTGTGGAGCATGGGCTCTAGGTGCACAGGCTTCAGTAGCTGTGGGACGCGGGCTCAGTAGTTGTGGCTCACACGCTCTAGAGCGCAGGCTCAGTAGTTGTGGCACACAGGCTTAGTTGCTCCGCAGCATGTGGGATCTTCCCGGACCAGAGCTTGAACCCGTGTCCCCTGCATTGGCAGGCAGATTCTTAACCAATGTGCCACCAGGGGAATCCTCCCTCTTTCCCATTTTGAAAGTTACTACCAGGAATATTTTTTTACCTCACTAGGGAAAAGTAGGGCCTTCCATGGAAATTTGAACATAATTTTATTTATTAATCCCAACAACCAGACAAAGCAAAAGAAAGTCAAATTCCTAGAAAACTTGAAGATGGTAGAGAAAAAGAATAAAATTAAGACCCAGATTAGCAGGTCCCAATCACTCCTTAAGCACTCTCTGTGGTTCAACCTTTGCACAAATTAACAATGACTAGCTGAATACACATAGCTGGCACTCGACAATGTTTTCTGAATGAATTGCCCTACCCAACACACAGCATGAGAACTATCGTGGTAAAAAGCAAGGAATAAGATGGTGACAAAGGAATTCTCTAGGAACCATTTTCTTCAGGCTACTTTTGTAAAATATCTATGTCAACTGTACTAATTTGTAACTTGTGATCTTTCTAACTGAAACTATAGTCCATGCTTTTAAAAGGCTATTATGATTAATAATAATAATAACTAATAGTTATTGAGCACTTACAGTGTACAGAAGATGTGTTCCAAGTGCTTTTATGTAATAGCTCATTTAATCCTTAAACCAACTTTATCAGACAGAAACCATTATCCTTATTTCCAGATGAAGAAATTGAGACTTAAAGACATAACTTGTCTGATGTTACACTGCTGATAAGTGAAGAAATTGGGCTTGTAAGCAAAGTCTATCTAAATTTAAAACCCTCTGATCTTAACCACGACTCAATACTTCATTTAAAATCTTAAACAGTACAAAGAAATAACACTACTGTTTTATAACCTTTTAGAATTGAATATAAAATAAAATAAATTAATTTGTTTTAAGTACAGTTGACCCTTGAACAACACTGGTTTGAACTGTGCAGGTCCACTTACCTGCAGATTTTTTTTTCAATAGTAAATACTACAGTACTACATGATCCGAAGTTGATTCAATCCATGGATGCAGAACCGTGAATAAGGAGGAACAGAGTTTACAGAGGGATGACTGTAAGTTAAACGTGGATTTTTGACTGCAGGAAGGAACTATGCCCCTAACCCCTGTGTTGTTCAAGGGTCAAATATATTATATACTTTTAAGTATTATATACTGAAATAATTAACTTACTAATTATCAATTCTATTTCATTAAAGCAAGTCCCTTCCTCTGCTGCCTATATCATTAACCTACACTAGTTAAACCATAATAAAATGTAATTTTTACAAAAATAAACCTGTAATTCATCTTTACCTAAAACTATTCTCAATCCTCAGCCCAAATTTCTGAGAGTTTACCATATTTTAATAAAAAGTACATGATTTTATAACTTACTAATGATAAGCTCTTACTATGGAACAAATTCACACACTCTTTGTATGGAAATTTTCTCTGTATCCCATCTTTTTGCTAAACTTTGGCTAAAAGTTGGCTACTGCTGCCAATATTTTCATAGCCTACACATAGTTCTTTTCAACATATGCTTTCTATTCAAGCAAAGAATAGGACAGAATAACGAATTTTTAGAAGATCATTTAGGCAGATGATGACTCTGTATATAGATAATGATCATAATAATTCAGCTTCAAACGTCTTCCCATCATGCTTCTTTTGCTTTGCCTTTAACCAGTATCTAAAGTCTTTGCTTTTAATTGAGGAAATTCATTGTCAATAGATCTACTCTAAAAGAAATGTTAAAGGAAGTTCTTCAAGCAGAATCTGCTATCAAACAGACTCTTGGATCTAAACAGATAAATAAAGAGTGCTGGCAATGTAATAAGTAAATGTAAAATAAAATGTACCTTTTTTCTTATTTTTAATTGCTCTTAAAAGCTAAATGACTGTTTAAAGCAAAAATTATTTATAGAATATGTAAAAATATATCTGACAATAATAACACAAAGGATTGGGGCAGGAGGTAATTAAACACTAATGTTTAAGTTCCTTATACTACACACGAAGAAATATACTATTATTTGAAGGTAGACTAATTAAGGATGTATAGTGAACATCTTAAGGAAACAACTAAAAATATAATATATAAATATATAATATATAAGTTATAAGTTATATAAGTTATATATTATAAGTTATATATTATAAGTTATATAAGTTATATATTATAAGTTATATAAGTATAAGTTAATAGGTGAAATAAAATGTAATAATAAATGATCAATTAACTCAAGAGAAAGCAGAAAAAGAGGAATAAAAAGAAACAATAGACTGAACAAATATAACACTCATCTGATGAATGAAAAAAGTCAGATGAAACAACTGTGAAAGCCTTGCCATCTGGAACATTCTCTGAATCTGGGAGCTGCTTCCTTGACTTGGAAAACGTTCCAATGTTTCATGAGGCCCTTGATATAGAAACTCTTAATAAAATCTCTTTAATTAGTTTGGTGTTGCTCAAAAAAAAAGTCTTTGCTTTTTAATATATTCCCAAAAAAGAAAATGAGTGCATACTACTATAATGTAACATCAACTTGTAAACACAAATTGTAAGATCATTCACTACATGATCATATTGATCATATGAAACTGGGCCGGTGACAGAGAGCAGTAAATAATATCCAGGAAAATGTTCATCTCTAATCACTTAATTTTACACATGTAACATTCTGTGTGTCTGCATACTCTATTATATGATCATATTCTGAAAGAAAGTATTATAAATACAAGAAAGGGGTTAGAGTTAAACCAAAAATGAAAAAATTCTTTTGACTTTCATGCAATTATATCTCAAACATAACCCTGTAACAGTTTTGTGCATAAATTCATATAATCATATAAATGTTTGTTTTTGAAACCCAGGAATGGCATCACCAGCACAGTCCAATAGCCCATCTAGCCTGACATCCTGTCTTAGACAGTGACCAATGGCGGAGGCCTCACAGGATAGCATAAACACATAACATAATGTATATAATTGTGCACCACTACACCATTACTCCAGATGTAGTTAGATTATATCCTGAAAGAAATGAAAACAAATCCCAACCCCCATCACTCCCTTACTCTATAATTTCCCAAAAAGTGACAGGAAACCTCCAATAAAGCACAAATCTAACTATAATATAAAACAATGCTTTGGTGACATGACGAATGACTAACTATCTCCTAAAATGAAAAGCTGCACTCAGAAACAGAACCTAAGCTCATCAAAACTTATGATTTGTAAAGGGGGATTTCAATGAATTGAAAAGCATCTGATTCACTCAATTAGATCTAAAAAATAGATGAGCAAAATTTAACTAAAGCTTTAAAAAAAAAAAGTTTCTTTTACCCAAGCCATCCATTTGTGATATGTGATACTGTTTTCTAGAAAGTATTATAAAATTTATATTTTTAACTCTTCAGGGAAATGATATACACACCTGTTTTGTAATGGTTTTGAAGTAAGGCTTGGATTTATTAAATGTTCATCTAAGTGTGCAAAACCACATAATGAAGAAATCATGGCTTGGTCCTTCAGGAAGTACTATTTCCTAAACAATTATAGACAAAAAAAATGCACTGCATTTTTAAAGACTTTTGGAGAAGATAATTCTCTTGGTAGTATACTTGGGTATTGATTTAACAAAGCTTATAGTCAGGAAACAGTTCCTGACCTGAATCCTCCATGGTATAATTTAAATTCATTTTCTCTTTTTCTGACCTCAAATAGGTTGTAGAAGATTAGGTAATATCATATCTTATATATTTGAAAACTCTTATTAAGGTCTCCTTTACCAGGGTAAATGCATTGCAGGACTATGAACCAAATAATAATCCTGTACTGAATTCAGTCTTATAATTTTTATATGCTGTATATCATAGCCCAAGAGACAGATCTCAAAAATTACTTATCCATCATTTTTACCAAGCACCACTCCTCTCCCAATATACTCTTTCTCAAAAAAAAAAATCTATATTTAGGAACAAACCTCAAAAATTTAGAAAAGGAAGTTTATGAGCGCTGAGAGCAAAGAACAATGCACACAAAATTCCATGCAGACACTGCTTCCTTCCCTAGAACAGGGTATCATTTAATGAAATGTATCTCTCAAAATCTCTGGGGCAGAGCTGAAGCTGCAGTGTAATATCATAAAATCTGCAGCTGTGTTGCTGTTCTTAATAGTCCACGCTGCTTCCTTAGACAACAGGAAGCCAAAACACACACACACTGCAGAATAGAACTTACCTTAACAAGGAATTGGCCAAAGCGGCAGAGCAGTTACGATAGATCAAGCATCAAACTTATTGAAAAGACTGTACACATCTTTAGGAATTTTCTCCTCAACTTGCTCACTCCAGGAAAACAGTACCTATTTATGTTCCCAAACATCATTTTTTTTTAGGAATAAAAACTACAGGAATAGACAAATAAAGTTTCCTATATATAAATAAACATTAATAACTTACTTTTATTGCCCACCAAGGCAACCAGTGGCTGAGTTTCAGACTCCTCACTCACTTTCTTCACCACAGAATACCAATCTTCTAAATTCTCAAAGCTTTGATAATTTGTAATATCATATACCAAGAGGATTCCCTGTCGCAAAAGAGTTACAGAATATTTATAATATACTACTTTAAAAAATATTAACAATGAGCACTGTTAAGTAATAGATATGTTGAATAGAGTATAAAAAGTACAAACGTGGACTGTTTGTATCTGACTTCAATTTAGGTATTAGCAGACAGATAATACTGAATGTCTTCATTCAAGATAAATTCCAGCAATTAAGATACAATGCAAGCTAAAGAATAATTTTCTCAAACTGTAAGTGGTTTTCCAATGAGATATCTGGGATATGCTTGGTAAGTTTCAATAAAATATAAGAAAATCATATCATAGAGGTGAAAAAAGCTTCAAGGTCTACAATTCTGCCTGTCACTTTCATGAGGTCAAACATTTAAACCTTTCAATAAATAACCATCTGCTGCTGCTCTTTTTAAATATTTTCAAAAATGGAGATTCCATGACATCCCCTGACAGTCAATTTCAGTGTTTAACACAATTTTCTTTAAATGAAATAAGTCGATTTCCTCTTTCGGTCCTCTGTGCATTTGCAGAACAACATGAGAGTGTCCTCCTTATAATAACCCTTCATGTACTTGAAAATAGTTAAGTAACTCCTTCACCCTCTCCTTTCCAGAATAAACAAACTCAATTCCTTAAACTTGCCTCAAAGGACCTATTTTCTATCCCTTTAATCATAGTTGTTGGTTCTTCCCAGGACATGCTACATATAGTTTTTTGACATCCTCTTTAAAATGAGCAATGTAAAACTGGACATGATACTGTAATAAGAGCCTGAACAAAGCCAAATACAACAGAGGGATTGCTTCCTGCCTCTTATATATCATATTCCTTTTAATATATCCCATTATTTTGTGTGGGAAGGAGAAGAAGTATGTACACTCACAAAAATAACACTGCCACATTCTTGATTCTTATCCAATTTGTAGTCAAATACTTAATACAAAGCTCTCTGCATATTTAAGTCTGGCCCTAATGGCATTTATGTCTCCTTCTTCTTAAGTTATAATCATAAATGTTGACTACTTCTTTACACCTACTATGTACCAGACAGATATCTGGATCTTTTCATTAATCCTCACAAAAATCATGCAAGACTGGTATTATTATCCTCATTTTACTAATAAACACAAAGTCACATGGAGCCAGGATTTGAATCGAGGACTGAATGAATATAAAGTCCACCCATTCAGTCTACAAAAATTTGTCTGCCAACTATATGCCAAGCATTGTGCTGGGTACCAGGGATATGAGGAACAACCTCAAGGAACTCACAGTCTTGCAGCAAAGCCAGGCACATAAACAGACAAGTATATAACACAGAAGTCATGGCCAATGATATGCTAGTAAATATTAAGTAACCAGCTTGAGGCATGGCAGCAGTGGGGAAGGGATGAGAGAGTGTTACTTGTAGCATCTGCCAATTTCTATAGTGTAAATACTCCCCTGTGGTCATTTTAAAGCTATCAATGTCACTTCACTGAACAGAGTTGGGTAGGACACCACTACACAACACTTCCACCATACAGATACACTAGATATAAATAACCTCAAGAGCGTAAACAGAAATATATAGTAAAATAATCAGTAAGTGATGCATTTTGATCATATAAATCTTTGTTTTTAATATAATTTATGAGTTTTTATATATATTTTTAATCATGAATATATTCAATAACCAGCTCACAAAAATTCCTGAAAATTTAACAACTGACTCTCTCAATGTGGCTCTAGCTTACTACTATTATGAACTTCCAGTACTATGCTCTTTTCTTCCAGTTTTATTAAGAAATAGTTGACATGCATCACTGTACAAGTTTAAGGCATACAGCATGATGGCTTAATTTACATATACTGCATGCTCTTTTATTAAACTACACTGGCCCCCAAGTCACTTAGCTTCTCTGGGTCTCAAGTTATTTGCCTCTAAAGTTAGATCATTGAATTAAACACTCTATATCCCTTTCAACTTAATTATTCCAAAATTTTTATGCAAAATTGTTTGTCTGATTTATTTTAGTAACTTATAAATCTATTTCTGCCTTCCCAAATGCTTTGAAATAATGCCCAGCACAGAATTATTTGAAATAATGAACATAATCCTACTTTTCTTATTAAGAATAATGTCCCAGAATTAGCCTGTGAACAAAGCTAATATTCAATCTATTGACTCCACCTCCAGTTAACATGAGTGATACAATATATTATGTTGAAAGAGCTCTGCCCTAGAAGTCAGATTGCCTTTGGACTGTAGTCCTGGCTCTACCATCTACTGATCTTGGGCAATGCTTCTGTCATTCACTTTCATAATACCTGTCATGCCTAACTGATTATGTTAAGTAATAAAAATAGACAATTTAAAACCAACAAACTACACACTTACTGGGAACTTTTTTATTATTATTCTGAATAAATATGAATCACATTTTCAGGGCAAACATGAGATTGTTTTCACTCTCATAAACTGAGCCTTGACCTATGGTGCCTCTTAAACCTTAAAATTTTTAGAACCCTTCTAACTAATATATTAAAATATTCATCGCAACATGGTTCAATATCTGAACATAATAGAATATATGCAAATAAAACATGGCCAGCATCTCTTGATAATCAGTACTAGACCAGAGCTATAGAATAAAAAGTAACTATCACTGATCTAGACCAGGAGTTGGTAAACTATGACCCCCAGGTCAAATCCAGCTCATAGCCTATATTTGTAAATAAACTTTTATTTAAACATAGTCACACTCACTTAAGTATTATCAATGGCTGCTTTTGCACTATAATGGCAGAGTTGAGCAGCTGCAGCAGAGACAGTCTGACCTGCAAAACCTAAAATATTTTCTATCTGGTTTTTCAAGGAAGTTTGCCAATTTCTCATCTAAACTGATATATCCCAATATTCTTCAGTCAGCAATACCTATGAATTGTCCAGGAATCATAAGAAAGATAGAAGGATAAACACCTTTTCATTAATCTAGCTATCTACCAACCCAAACATCTATCAGTTCATATAACCATTTCTCAATACCATTTAATGCAAAAATTATGATTTTTATTCTTTGCTCCTAATATGACAATTTTGTACCAGTTTTGACCTACACCCATCTGGTTAAAAACTGAGAAGGAGAAATGAGAAAACCAAAGACATTAACATACAAAAGAAGTTCTAGGACTTTCAGTTTCAGCTCAGACATGTAAAGAGCTTGGAAGTCATCACATCTGTTCTTACAATAAGAAAATAGCTGGACAAACTGAAAATCCATGACTTTTCTTGGACACAACAGAGAGTTGAGTTTGCAGGGCAAATTGCCACCCTGAAATCCGGAGTGATGGGTGAATCCAGAGAGTCACAGCCAAAATCTGCTTATCTGGAACAAAAGCCACTAGAGCCAGTAAATAGTAGAAACATTTAAATGGTCATTTTGATGAATTGTTGGAGGCTGAGTGTGGGCTAGCTTGAAGATGAGAAACTCCTGAGGGACACAGTCTTTGGGATACCCCCAGACTTTCATGTGTTTTACCTCTAGGAACCCCACAAGATCCTCATGGTGAAGAGACAAGAAAAATCCCCTCATGGCTCTGGCATGAGAAGAGAGAAAGTAATCATTGTAAAATATGCCTAGAGCATTATCTGTAAAATGGCATCCTCTCCAGGAAAAAATCTCAGAGTCTTCTACCACATGAGAGAATGGCATTTTCCAACTCCAGCCCCTTCTAGTCATCCTGTCTCACCTAAATGAGAAAAGCTAAGAAATATCTAAGAAGGTCACAGCCCAGGGACACAGATGCTTAAGTCACACAAGGCTGTGACTTAATCATAAGAGTATAGAATGTTTCCCCTCTTCCATACTTTAACACACCAATAGGGCTCCAGTATAATAGTAGATTACATTTGAAAGAGCTGCAAGACACAAACTCCAACTAAGGAAGAGTTCTTTGAGATGCCCAAAAAGACAGGGGAGGAAAAACACAAGGATATTAGAGGAATTTGATGGCTCTGCCATCTAAAGATTCAGCAAACATTAAACACAGACCAACTTCTGACCAAATTAACATAAAACCTCACACTAAAAGCCTATTTATTTGAGTTCTTATTACTCGATACATCATGTCTAGTTTTCAACACAAAATTATAAGGCACACTAAAAGGAAGTTTGAAGAGAAAAAGCAAACATTAGAATCAGATTCAAATCAGATTTTGGAGTGATCAGAACAGGAATTTAAAATAAATGTAATTAACATTTTAAAGATTCTAATGGAAAAGGTAGACAACATGAAAGAACGGTGGGTAATATACACAAAGAGATGGAAACATTAATGAATAATAAAAAGGAAATGCTAGATATCAAAAATACTATAACAGAAATAAGGCCATTGATGAGCTCATCAGGAGACTGGACACAACCTAGGAAAGAAACAGCCAGCTTTAGGATAAGATAATAGAAACTTTCAAAACTGAAATGTAAAGAGAAAAAAGAATGAATAAAATAGAATACAAAAGAACTATGGGACAATTCTGAATGTATATGACACATGGAACTGGAATACCAGAAGGAGAAGAGAAAATGGAACTTAAGAAATATCTGAAGTAATAATGGCCAAGAAATTGCCAAAATTAATTAGACACCATCCACAGATCCAGGAATCTCAGAGAACATCAAGTAGGATAAATACCAAAACATCTAAACCTAGACATCATATACTTAAACTCCATAAAACAAAACACAAAGAGAAAATCTTGAGAAAAGGTAGGGGGTGGAAGCCAAGGGGAGGGAGGAAATACCCTATCTATAGACCAACAAGGTTAAGAATTATAGAGAATTTCTCATGGGAAACTAAGCAAGTAAGAAAAGAATGGAGTGAAATTTTTAAGGTGTTGAAGAAAAGGACCAATCTAAAATTCTAGACGTAAAAAATCCTTTTCTAAGTAAGGAGGAATAAAGACTTTCTCAGATAAACAAAAACTGAGGGAATTCATTGTCAGAAGACCTTCTCTGGAAGAAACG